CTTTTTCATTATTGCTTAATTAGGACTTCAGTAAAAAAAGCCTGAAGATGCCAAACTCATGTATCTATATATGTATATTACATTTAATAGAGCCATTAGAGAAAGGAACATAGCACCAACTCTGGTGGGGCACTTAATTAATCAGCTGGGTCAATATAAGCACAGCAGTGTTGATAAGCTTACAGGGACAAGTGAGAAGAAAGCAGCCACAAATTAAATAGTTCATGTTACAGTTAACGTAAGTTACAAATTAACATATGGTCTAGCTAGTAGGTAACTCTAATTCACACGTAATATAATGAACGTGCACTGAAATGGAGTGAATTTCACTTCAATTTGCATTAGGTAAAACACAATGCAAATTGTTCCACTTGTTGCATTGGGCTATATCAAAATACTTTTTTCTTTGTACAAGGTGTTAGATCAGTGTTCTTGAAATTAATATATGAAACTTCGTGAATTTTGACTATGTTTGAACTTAACTAAAAGGGTAATTTATGTATTTTGAGATTATTATAGGCTAAGTTTAATGATGCCCTTCGGTGCAAAGTGGAATTTATTAGTACAAAACATAGTGAAAAGTGAGAGTGGGTGAAACAAGAATTTTAATTACCTCGTGCAGACAATTGTAGTAGTAAATGCATTTCTAGCTCTGAGCTTGTACTGTTGTACAGATACAAAGCTAGAAATGTACTCAGTGCGGGACGATGGAGATAGTAGCAAAGTTTATACGTTTATTAGACAATTATCCATGTGTAGTATATTCATGAATGATATTTATATAAAAATAGACATATTTAATGTGATTTCTACATTTATGCAGAAAATACTAGATGATATATGTACGTATGTGCGAGTTCTAATAAGCATAATATATATGATGGAATTTTTTTTTTTGGGCTAACTGAAAGGACTGTCGATCCAGCCCATAGTCCTGATAATCTTTTTTTAAATGCTTAAAATATCGAATTGATGTGTAAATTTCTTGCGCCGCCTAAAAGATGCTCGACAGTTGAGAGGAAGTTAAATTACCTATATCATCCAAAGTGTAGTTCTTTCTTGGTCGGTGGCTGAGACAGAAGGACGGCCAGTGGCCTGGCCCCTCCAACAAATTATTTTTCATAGCTTTCAACATAAGCCGGGTCTCTGGCCTTTTTCTAAAAAAAAACAAATTATTTTTCACACGTAACCCCACCTAATTAGTTAGGTAATTAGCCTAAGTAATAGTGTATTAGACCCTACTCCAAGACTCTTAGGCCACTTCTATGTTTTAATCGTGGCTTCGCCACTGTTCTTGATAGACTACTTGGGCATATAAAAGGGACTACTTACTGATCTTTCGATGAATTAGGGGTTTCAAATCTTATATAATTTTCAACCAATGTATACAACCTATTTTAAATGAAATAAAAAAACAAACATGTCAAACATGTAAATCTAGAGATAGAAACAATTGTAAAAAAATAAGTTTGATGCATTGTAGCTGAGCATAAGTGCATTGTAAGTGAGTGTAACTGTAAGTTAGATATACAGGGACACGAATCTTAATGTAAGATGCTACGAACGAAAAACCGATAGACAGGAGCTCAAAAATCTATCGCAAGTGAAATAACAAAAGTATAAAAATTCCAACTGCATGCACGTAGGTGTACGTAACAACCGACGGCGAGGGATCAGAAACCGGATACATGCAACCAGTGGCGGAGCTACATTTACAAGAGAGGGGGGCTCAGCCTTCTTCCTCCTCCCCCCCCCCCCCCCGCACACGCACACACGCTGGCTCCGCTGCTATGCAGCTAGCCGGCCGGCGACCAAACACGGCATCATCATATCGTAGCCACAAAAATATTTCTTCCACCCGGCCACCAAACACGGGCGGCTAAATATTACTATTCCAGACCAGTATAGCGAGCGAGCAACACACACACACACAGTGCAACGCATGCATGCATGCAGCATCGATCAGCCAGCACCAAGCCGACATTGCAGAGCTGTCTCGCCATTGTCGCGTTGCACCGCTACTGTACCCTGCAGCGTACTCCATCCGTCCATCCCATAAAAAACCAATCTAATACTAGATATGATATATCCTAATATTACATACAAATATATACATATATTCAAATTTATAATATTAAAATATATTATATCTGATTATAGATTCGTTTTCTATAGGACGGATGGATGGAGTATATGCCACTAGTGTAGCAACATACAGCTAGCTACTCCTCCGTCCTAAAAAAATTAAACCCTAGGTTTGAATCTGAGCAAACATGTATCCAGATTCAAATTTAGAGTTTGATTCTTTTTGAGACAGAGACAGAGTAGTAGATAGTTACTTCCTCCGTTTCAGGTTAGCATTGTCCACATTCATATATAACATCTATATGAATGTGGGCAATGCTAGAAAGTCGTATAACCTGATACGGAGGTAGTAGTACGTAGTACACTGGACGCCACGATGTGTGCACTTGCGCTGCTGCATGCGAGAGCTGGGACCACACGTACGGTGGTCGCTCTCTCGCTGTGTGTGTCTGTACATGTCCGTGAGTGATCACTGTGTGCCACTGGCACTGCACGCGTCGTACGTACAACGCTCGCCGGCGGCGAGGCGAGGGTACGTACGCGTCCAGCTATAGCGCCATGCGGGCACGCACACGCACACGCACGGCGCGTCCCCCACCGCCGCGACGCGCACGTCCCACCTGCCGTTCTCTCTCGCCCGCGCGTCGCCGTCGTCGCGCGGGCCAACGACACAACATGTTAAGGGCGCGCGTCGCCGTCGCCGTCGCCGCTTGCTCTCGCGCGCGCGGCCTTTAGTTGGCGCGAGCGAGGCGAGCTAGTGTGACGGTGTGAACGCGGCGAGGGGGGGCCGGACGACGAGACCGACAGCGTGTGCGCGCGCGCGAGCGGGGAATTAAGGAAGAGGACGACGTGCTTTGTACACTGCTACGTGGGTCGCCATCGCTGTGCGTTGTCCAGCTAGCGCCGGCGGCCGGCCGGCGCCCTCGATCGTGGGCTAGCTTAATTAGACCAAGCAACTTTTTACAATCTTACATATGCAATTTCTTTCCGAATCTACAGCTCCCCGCAGTCCATTTTAGATTCTAGGCCCGGTTCTTTTTCTCAATTCCAAACTCCAACTTCCTCATTTTTCATTATCACGTTTTTCAAACGGTTAAATTGTATGTTTTTTTATTAAAAAAATCTTTACAGAAGTTGTTTTAAAAAATAAATAAATCTATTTTTAAATTTTATAATAGATAATATTTAATTAATCGTGTACTAATGACCTTTCTGATGATAGAAATTCAATTACTGAGAATTTTGCGAAGCTAAAAAAAAACCAACTTCTAACTAGAGTTATGAATTCTGCAACTATACCTTCTCATAATCCCAAAAAAAAGTTGAACTGTTTTGAAGGGCTTTTGATTTTAGGAGAAGTTGTCATTGCCAGAAACTCCCCAAACAGACTCTAGCTATATTTTTTCATCTAAATTCCAAGAATTTGTAGTTTATTAATTGTAGAATCCATAAAACTGACTAGAAGGGGATTGAAGAAGCTGGAAACTTAGCTTTTCTAAATTTTGATAAGTTTACAAACTGCTTTTCAAACTCTGGAGCTCTCCAATCAAAACCTATCTGAAACGTCGGTAGCTAGGCTGGGTGGTACAGTGCTGGCTGGTGCTACTGTTTGGCAGTTGGAGAAAACGGTATAGCTTGATGTAGGCGTATACGTAGGGACGTCGGTCTCCGTACAGTGGTACATACGTAGCCCATGCCATGCCATTGTACGACACATCTAATTGTGATTTTGTTTTTTATATTAAGAAAAATCCCGTGGTTGTGTGTCACTGTATAGAAGGGGATGTAACCTATTTTACTCATTGAATCATTGATAATTAAAACAGTGCACGTGCAAGAAAGGTGGTAGTTCGAAATCAAAGGATTATCTTGGGAGTTTTTTTAATTATATTTAAGTGAAATTTGAATTTTTTTGTCGCAAAAAAAGATACATTGAATTTTATTTTTTCAAGGGCGAATGATCCACCTAAAGTTTGTTTTAAAAGAAACTGTTTCAGCACGTACACACCACAGGTAGTTCAAAAGTGCATCTGCCGGCCAATTAATGCGGCACAGTAGCTCAATATAGGACAGGACCTTTGGAATTTTATTTTCAAATCCATTATATTTACTCAATGTAGCCTTTTCCTTGCTCCATTTCATAATCAAAAGGCAAATAGGCGGTTCCAATTAATTTGCACAAATTTCTCGAGCGTCAAATTCGCCACATGTGGGTGGTGGGCTGTAGGCTACGGATCCCATCGGCCCACATGACATTGCAGCGGCCTACGAGAGAATGGAAGGTTGGGCCGTCAGAAGCTAATGTCTACTGGACCTATTCTCAATCTACTAGGCCCATTCTTTTTTCCAGGCCTATTAGGCCCATTCTCCCCTCCTCCTACCCACCACCCACCCGTCCACGCGCTCCCCTCATCCTTGCAGCCAGCTTATTTCATAATCAAAAACTCTTCCTAACAGTCTAATTTTTCATCCAAATTCTAAAAAATTATAGTCACAGAATCTAGAAAATAAACAAGCACGAATCACAGAGCAAATCACAAGGTCAGAAATTCCCGTGAACTTACCTTTAAAATGTGTTAAAAGTGATGTAGTATAATACTCCATCCGTCCCAAATCATAGGACGTCCTCTTAAAATCAAAGTCGGTAACTTTTGACTAATAATTATACTAACCATACATATGCTAAGTATTACGTATGTTATATCACTAGATTTATATTTTAATTTTAAAGTACTTTCATATGATGTTATTTTCATGTTTGTTGGTAACGTAACATAGAATAAATTAACAAATTAACGGTCAAAGTATGTCATTGTAGACCGTGTAAAAAAATATAAACCTTATAATTTGGGACTAAGGGAGTATTGTATTTCCGATATTCAGGGAGAATACAGGAGACCAACTGACCCAAATGGTAGATATTTGCCTGACAAATGATTGGGTTTCTTGCAGGCACATTACTTATTTCATTCATATTATCACGTTTAGTACATGGATATGTAAATTTATGATACAGATACACCATTGGGGTCCAAATGTTCAGAGATACATCATCCAGGGAATTCAGGCAATGGAAAAGAATCAATCGGTGTGTGGAGCTAAATGCAGAGGCCTGATCATGCCACATTAGCAAGCACACCAGGCCCTGCCCTAAGATCATATCTGAGTAATGATGAACATGTCCATGCAAGTCACTAGCTTTGCATCCTCTATCTATACCTTCCTCTTATTCTGTATATATTCCCATTGGGTGTCCCTTTTTTCCCCTCTTTTTGCCACCTACATTTGGTGGTGGTCTAAGAATGAATCTTAGTAATCTCCCCTGAATGTAAGATGATGGCAGGTACCATCACAAGGGTATGCACAGTCTGTGTACTTCGCGTCTGCCCTATCGAAAAACCAGTCGCCTACTGCTTCAGCAATTCTCTGCATATCCAAGAAAAAAAGTACATGGGATGGGTCTGATGAGACTACTGGTTTTACATGTAGGAGCTCAGAGTTCAGACAGTCAGGAAATCTTTCGAAGCGAGAATGTTTTTCATGGCATCACCGCAGAGTTTGCGTACCTTGTTACCGAGACGAGGAGAATCCCCTGCGTACCATGTGTCCTGTCTCTCACTTTGGCAATGTGCGAAACAGGAGTTGATAAAAAGACCGTTCTGCCTTGCGCCGGAGAAACCCCTCACCGCATCGAGCATTTGATTCCTGAAACCTGCCATCATACATACACAGGGGGTCAGCCAATCTAGACTTGAATTGACAGTTTATAATTCACGGATCTGGGAGAACAGCCCAGTACCTTGTAAAAATTGCAGTTGGTTGCTATTACAGGAGGCATGATTCATCCTACATCCTCGCCATAGACCTTGCGGATCAGCCCTTTTGGGGGCCACACTTTGTTGAAGCTGGAAAATATAAAATAAAATCATGTCCTTGAACATTTTATAGTTTATATTTGTGGACCAACTTTATCATACCGTTAACATGCAAAACAACTGACAAATACCTGCCACACATCATAAGCAGTGTTCAAAATAAAAGTTGGAGTTTGAATGTTTGGCACCACATTCTGGGGGAAAAAGCACTGTAGAGAGCACCAATTAGAAAAAGAAATTGTGAAAAACTAACTGTGTATATCTTTGTTAGATACTTCTTGATGTTTTCCTTACCGAAGTTTTATCCATGCGGGAGGTACAAGACCTAGGCAGGCTTCTTCCGGAACCCTGTTTTTGGTCGAATTTTCATGAGAACATAAGCGAAAAAAAGATATTGAGAAAATATTTTTTTTCAAAGGTATCGTATATTCTGACATAAATTAATAGTAGCATAACATGTAGAAGAAGTGTTACAGTCATGACGAACAGAAGTATCATAACATGGTGGACAGTGGCAGATACCTGCAATCTCACAATACCATTGAAGAAGTCCCTCATTTCTCGTTGCCCAGAAACATCAACACTGCAAATGGTAATTAAATCCATAACGTAATATCAGATGATTAGCTTTTACTCTACCAGTATTCATCCATAGCAAAGAATGGGCAAGAAAAACTGCATCAAAGCAAGTCTCATTTCTATATGTGAACTTACAAGTCCAGAAACATTCCAGCATCAGCAAGGCACTTCACGTTTGTACTGCCGCTAAACAATCCACGGAACTCGTCACAGTGAAGTATGGTTGAAACACCACCAGCAGAGCATCCAGAAAGAAGTGCCTGGTAGAATTGAGTTGTGGCAAGGAAACATAAATTATTTCCAAAATCCAAAAGGCTAAAGAAAACATGATTAGCTGTGGAAGGATCAGTACCTGGTTAGCATATCTCATTCCTTGGGCCATCAGATCATCCATAGCAGCCTGCCAAATACGCTGACCTCGGAAATAAAGGCCTGCAGACTGGAGAAAGAAAACTCTGATAAATGAACCCATGTAGTTCAGTAGAAAAAAACATAAACATGTATATTATGTAGTAATTTTTTTGGGGGGATGTGAAGTATGTATTTCTTCAGAATATTTGTTTGAATGGAATGTACACTGTGTGCAATATGGAATATAGGTCACTAGGAAGAAACGTGTACGCTAAATATTACTACTATCTAAGAGAACTTAAACTTAAATTGAAAAACATTTTCCTTTGGGAAACATTAAACTTAGGTGATCAGTTATCTTGATTATCTTCTGAAACCCTTCAGCCCAGTTAAATATCAGGAAACCAACGCACTAAAATGCAGAAACAAAATTTGCACTCACCGCATCAGCCCCATCACCAGTGAAGGATCCGCCATCACAATATCGAACCTTCACTCTGTTCCAGTTGTAGAAATCTAAGAAGAAGAGAGCACAGTCATAATTTGTCAGCCACCAATAATTAATAGCAATATTCGCATGAACTATATCAAGACAGAATTGATCGAAAGAATACCAGGATTTTCTTCAGGCCTGTTACTCATTATCCCAGTAAACTGGAGTTGGCTCTCCATGTGATTTGATGAACCACGCCGACTGCTCTTGCGAAACACGCAGCTTTTAACATCGTTGCACCAGCCTCCACCCTGGAATTCCAAACGAATCACCATCAGCTACTAAAGCCTGAACGATATACAACAATCTCTAGTGCCACAAAGTGCCATTTGCTCAAACTTATCTCTCGGTTCACATATATGGGAATTGGGGTGTATTTCTCACCTCCAAATTGACAAGCCAACTGTTTGCCCCTGATCCAAACCCTCGGTGTAGGTGATACCCTGGTAAGCTCCCATCCAAGCATACTGCCATGATAAACAAAGAAAGCTGTCATCGAGATTTGCCAACCAACCCTGCTATAAGCAAATGGAAACTTGGGTCCAAATTATTCAGAATTTATGATACACTACTCGCTAGACAATCAAGAATGTCAACTTAAGTTAACAGAAAACAGATAGCATTGAGTCCCCTTTTCCCCCAACTAGGTAGCAAGGAAATTTTCATCATGACAACCACCAAACATTCCAAGGCTCTAGATCCACATGCATATATCTATCAAGATCCACACATGATGCATGGCATGCTACAACCAACCAACAAAAAGGTTAACACTGCATGATCACTCAATCAAGGAGCACCTAAACAAAAAGAGGGGCACCAAAAAAAGAAAACATGAGCAATCACACTCCTCCTAATTTACAGGTGCTCTGAACCCTCTGTCCAACCAGGGTCAACTCAACAAGGACCGGATCACAGTATCACACCACTCAATGACTCAATCAGTGGAAAACCCAAGACCCCATTGACCCAATTCCAAGAGCTCACATGGGGGCAAGGCAAGGCCAATAAAAAAGCAATCTTTGCAGCCGGAAAAAAAATACTAGAATCAAGGAATGAACGAACAATTCAGGGAACAAGGAAACATATATACCGGCTCCCTTGGCGGCCGCCGACTGGATGAGCGTAATCCCGACGAAGACGCCATTGCTACCAGAGTTGGCATTGGTGGAGTAGACCTGCGTCTGATTCAGCCACGGCTCAGAGCCATGGACTGCCACCACCAAGAAGCCAAGAACCAGAGCAGCAAGAGCCCAAGAACAACCCATGGTTGATGGTTCTCTTCTTTCTTTGCTGGTTCTTGGGCCTTCCTCCCACTCCCAGCCTCTGCCTTCTTCCTGAGGAATGGATCTGGAAGAAGGGGAAGAGGAGGAGGGAAGAATGGAGGAGCAGAAGCGGCCAAGCAAGAAAGGAAGTTATACGCGGAGCCAAGTGCAGCTGGATGCTGGCAATGGCTGACAAAACAAAAGCGGCTGCTTCTGGGAGATTCTGTGGAGCGGTGTGCACTGCTACTAGTGCAGCTGCACTAGTGCTTCCAGTGAAAAAACGTGTAGTGCAATTACAGTTGTGAAGCAAAGCATCTCCCTATCTTGTGAGGCTGTAGAAATGGAGAAGAAGAAGAAGAAGAAAAGAAGCAATGGAAGGAGTCGCCCGGAACGTGGTGGTGGTGATGACGGAACTACGGAATCCAGGGGAGGGCGGCGAAAGGGTGGGGAAAACTGTGAAGTGCAATTACTGCTTTTTTGGTGGGCGTACTCGTCTCCATTGGAGCAAGTGACAGCTGGGAGCTGAGCTGAGCAGCGGCCGTAGGCAGGCTGGTCACTTCCTCGCTTGCGCTTCTTCGCTGCAGCGGCTACAAGCAGCACAGCTTTTTCATAGGGAGGCGCAAAATAATTAGTAGTGTCGGCTACGGCCATGAATGAGGAAGCGCAATGTAGGTCATGTTTACTTTCCAATCAGCAACAATTTTTTTAATATATACATGGAGCATTAAATATGAAAAAAAAATTAATTATACAGCCTGTAGTACTAACTACTCCCACCTTATTTATTTTTTATAATTAGTATTTTTTATTATTAGATAATAAAAAATAAATAAATATACTTTACATGTGTCTTGCTTTTAAGTTTTCATAAAATTTTTAAATAAAACGAATGGTAAAACATTGAACAAGGAAACCTACCACTGCGTTTTAAGTGGAACGGAGGGAGCAAAGGATTTTAGTTGAATAGGACACATACCATTACTATAAATTGAACATTCGTTATTTAGATTCGTAGTATTAGAATGTGTTCAATTCAACTAAAATTCCTCGCATTTTGGGATGGAGAAAAGTAGTACTACTATTCATACTCACAAAATAAGTTCATCTATGTCACTCTTATTTATTTCAAATAAGTTTGCTTTTTAAGCGTTCATTGTATTAGAATTAGAGTTTTAGAAAGTAGAAGATAAATATACTATAAATAAATAAAGTGGGGGACAATTCTATTGGAATTTAGGGCATGTTTGGAGGAACTTCTAGCTGCTGCAGCTTCTTCTAGAATCAGAAGCTCTCCAAACAGTCTAGCTTTTGGTCCGGATTGTGAGAAACTATAGTTGTAAAATCCAGAGAATGAAGTAGAAGCCAGAAGCTAGGAAACCTAGTTTTTCTAGATTCTCAGAAGCTGACTACCAACCAGCTGTTTTTTAGAATCTTACGCTCCCAAACAGGCCCTTAGTAAAGTGAAGGGTATCTTAATCTTTTAATTTTGTATTAGTATGTGTAGGATGAGTGAAAAATGAAATGATTTTGGGACGGAGGTAACTGCCATCCTTCCTTAAAGAAACAATCAATTTCTAGGAATGATTTGTCCATATGTATCTTAAAAAATATTTTTTAAGATTAAAATAATAAATAATACTCAATTAACCCCGTGTTGATGAATTTTCTTGTTTTGTGTACCATGAAAAAGCTCAACCTTTATGAAACCTTATAGATTGACTAGTGAGACTTCTTGAATTTATGACGGTGTAGTTTTCATAAAAAAATATATAGATGATTTTTTAAGAATTATTTTAAATTTTATACTTATAAATCGATTATGTTATATTTTATATGAGTATTAGTTAATTTATTTGTTTGCACTCTCATTATCAAATTAATCGATAGTAACTCTCAAATAGGAGTATTTAGCATTCAACCATGCTGCTAGTCAATAGTACAAGTACAAAGACTTTTTTTTGTCTTTTTTATAATGTTTCTGTAGGAGTATTTATTTGCGTATTAATGTTGGTTTAATTAATAGAGGTGATTAATTCGCGTTTGATACCGGTGGCTGTTACTGTTGCTTCTTAATAAGGAGGTTAATTAGACAAAGAGAGAAGCTGTTAAATGGTGGTACAACAGCAACGTTTTGTCGGGGGAGGTTCCTAGACGAAATCACATGTTCTGCACAAGAACTCGTTTGGACGTTAGTGGTCTACACCAACTGATTGATCGTTTTGCGACTTGCGAGCTGTGTGGCACTCAGCCACTCACTGGTATGGGTGCCATTTCATGGTCAACTATTAGGAATACAAATGGATTAAAATATTCAATAACTTGCTCACAAAATTTAAAACAGAATGAAAACAATTTGAAAGTGAACAGATCATAAGAAGTTAAGAACTCTCCTCGTTAAAAGCATATCCCATGGTGCGCTTTTGGATTGAGCGTCGGATCCAAACCCTAGGTGGTATGACAGTTTTCAACAAATTTCGATCGATTTTTTTGTTTAAAATTTTAATTCTCAAAAAATCATTTAAAATTTTCACTCAAAGATGCTTTCGTTCTGCGTCAAAACCTCAAGATTTCACTGTTTACGATCGGGTTTCGTCGAAAACCGAAACCTAGCATAGTTGGTAAGAACGGGGCAGAAAGTCCTAGTAGTATATTTTAACTTCTCTTTACTTCTGCACTCTCTCAAACCTAAAACATAAATATAGATTATATAGAGTAAGTCACAGTACTTCCCCCCGTTATAAATATTTTATGTTTAGAATAAGATTTGATTAAAGTTTTGACTATCCAACAAATTTTTAAAAAATGTTTAGCTTAAAATTAAATAGAAAGGATGGTACGTGTAAAGTTGTCTCAATAATATTATTTGCATTACAAACTTATTGAATCAAATGGATGTCATTCTTATATAAAACTAATAGTAAGAATTTTAAAAGTTTTACCCAGACTTATTCCCAGTGCCAAATGTAGAGTTGGCTACAACTCTACCAGGTGGAGTTGCCATGATATGTGCCATTCCGTATACCTCAACGGTTAGGATTAAGCCACGTTAACGTTAATATATACTTAAAACAAGTAATTAACTGTGCAACAAATAAACTTGCATCAACAACATGTCACAAGATATTTTAAGATATTTTTTTACTGTAGAATTGTAGAATTAATACAAGAATTTCATACTTCATCTATTTTATTAAAAATTATACATATTACAAGAATTTCATACTTCATCTATTTTATTAAAAAATTATATATATTAATATTGATATGGTTCGCTGTTGCATATATATGAAAACACTGTGTTAGTATATACTGCTGCTTAGAGTTGATCGACTGTATGTGTTTATTAAGAACAAATGAGAACATAATCAAAATAGAGGAAGCGTTGAAAAAACTAATTTTCCTATCAAGCTATAACCATTAATGTTGAGGAGTTACTTTATTAGGTAAATTTAATGAGGCATAATCTCAGCCGTAGAAAACAATGGATGATATAGATTTGGCCAACTCTACTTGGTAGGGGATCCAGACCCTCCTCATATGAGGGAGTAATTGTCTCATTCTGGTACACGCACGATACGTCCACATATACAATAAATAATGCTGGTGCAAGTAATCCATCTCCATACAATACGGTGGGGACCATTGGTCAAGGATATAATATGCTCAAATTAATCACTCACTAGTGATAGTGATTAATGTACGTAGCGCTCGCTAAAACGAAGCCCAACTAACTTTTCAACCATCCAGCACGTCCCCTGGATATGTACTGATGTACTACACTACTGTACAGCTTCATCTAAATCTCCTAGATACTCCCTTCATTCAAAATTATTTCAAATTTCGATTGTTTTTTCAAATAAATTAGTTATATTTGTAGTCTATATGTATCTAAAACTTAAATGAAGAAACAAATTAAGTGTATGATCAGAATTCGGAAGTCATAATTCTCCTGCTCTATTTATATATTAATATATATAAAGGCAAAGCTTTTGCCCTTCTTAAAATAAATAAATGTACTCATGATTTCTGTATCAGTAAGATAGTATTTTTTTCCCGTTTTGGAGGAAGGGAGCAAGAGAGAGAGATTCTTCTTGCTCAACTTAACTAATTACTCGTAATAATCTCGTAAAGAAATGCATGGATTTTTAGCTATAATGCACGGCACAATCATTTCCGGGAGTACTCCCTCCGTCCCATAAGGGATTTTGAGTTTTTGTTTGCAACGTTTGACCACTCGTTTTATTTAAATTTTTTTTGTAAATATAAAAAACGAAAAGTTGTGCTTAAAGTACTGTAGATAATAAAGTAAGTCACAAATAAAATAAATAATAATTTTAAAAAATTTTGAATAAGACGAGTGGTCAAATATTATAAACAAAAACTTAAAATCCCTTATATTATGAGACGGATGGAGCAGTAAATTGAAGTAGTAGTAGATTTTAATCATGACAAGCATACAGGCATGCATCAGCATGGGCAAATCGGTGTCCCTTTGATAAATCTGGTGTTCAAAAGCATCAATCAATCTGTCATGAAAGCAGATCAGACCATCAGATCGCTGGACTCCGGTCAAAAAGGCGAAGAAAAATATGACGCTGCTGCCGCTAATCAAGCAGCCATCAAATTTAATCCAAAAAATAATAGATCGTGAGGACCATTTTGAAAACGAAAGGATGCGAATCGCATTTGGCCCGTGATTCCAGGACAGCGAAAAAGGAGGGATTTTTAACGACCAAAGCATCGGATCAGATCATCCTCCTGCCTAATTATGTCCTGCACTGATCCCACGATAAACTTAAACATCAAGGAAAACGCATAAAGCAGGCTCAATTATCCTCCATTGACATTAGAAATAAGAAATGGTCTGCATTTTGATCACTGATAAAAAAAAATTCTCTGAAGAATTCAGTGTTCTTGGACAATTGTCATGAGTTGGCAGCATTTACTAAATTGGCCGCCCGCCGACACACACACACGAGCAGATGAGGGTTGGATCCACGGCGAAATGCTCCTCCTGCTTTTGAAGAGCATATCCAGTGATCTTTCAGACTTTGGTCATGGCCTCATCATGGAGACAAAAACATACCTGAACCATAACCATTTTCAGTTTTCAGATGTACTACTAGTAGTATAAATTCAGAGGAAGAGATGGATCGGCTTCGATCTACTGCAAGTGCAGCTAACTAGTGTACTTGAGATTAGTTTCAGTCGATCATATTGCTCGTTGATCTGATGCTCGTACGTATGTTCAGGCTTGAGAGGTGGTGGGTTCAGATAAGCTTAATCTCTGCATGGGCACTTGTTTGTGTTTCGATGGGGACATATCACATATACAATGCATGATGCTGCCATGATAGATTAGGTTAGGTAGATCTATGAGATTTCTTTAATGGACCATGAATTATCTAATCACACGCATCAGTACAATCACAGTAGGGATTTACCTATATATCGTACTGACAGTGCTAGCAGCTAATCCTTGTTCAGATCTGTGCAAAAAAAAATTACTCAATCTTATCGTCTGTGTGAGGGTCTCAGATCGGTTTAGCTTAGTTCAGTCAGTGACTGAC